CAAACCCTCCTAACTACCCCCCGAGACTCCTTCCGGTCGCCCCAGCCGGAACATGGGGAGTCATCCCTGACTTCTCCTTCTCTCCTCCCACCTCTATATGCCTAAGTTCTGCGATTTCTCCCCAAGATATTCTGTGTCCTCCTAGGCCTCCACCAGTGGAGTTCAAGTTCGAGTTCAAGTCCAAGTCACCATTGCCTCTGTCCTGGAAAACTCCCTGACTGGTCTTCAGGGCCATCCCTCTTCAGAATTACCCAGAAGCCAGAGCTCTTCCTAGGTGCAAGTCTCAGCAAGTCGCTCTCCTGTTTAAAATCCAGAATTGATTGCTCAGCTGCGGCGGAGAGGAAGCCTTCACTCCCTGGCGTGGCTTGGCTGGGCTTCCCGTTGGGGTTCCCGGCTACTCTTCTAGCGTTTTCTCTCTCTTCCACCCTCCCCAGCCCAGCTCCACTGCTCTGGGCTCTGGCGACACCAGACCATTTAGGCGCACCTTAGTTCTAAGGTGAGGAGGGGTTTCCTGGATGTGAATCTTGTGGCGTGAAAGCCAGGATTGCCCTGGGCAGACCGGGATGGCTGTCACCCTGCTTTTGCCTTCGCTGCTCCCTGAATATCTTCTTCCTCTCTCTGGAACATCCTCCCTCGTGTGGCCCACCTGTTTGCTAGGAAACACTACTCACCCTGGGTTTCTGCTTGGAATCCCTTCTGTGAGGCCCCACGGGTGGCTTTGTCCTTCTGTGAGCTCTCCCAGCGTGGCTGCTCTGGCTTCTTTGCAGCTCACTGAAGGCCGGAGCTGTTTCTTTCTCACCGGACCTCTGTCCCCGAGGCCTAGCGCGGAGTCTGGCACACAGTAGGTGTTCTATTGAGTTTTGCCGAGTAAACGAATAGCAAGGCCAGTTTATCTTTACTTTTTCTTTTCTTTTTTGAGACCGGGTCTCGCTCTGTCACCCAGAATGGCATGCAGTAGCATGATCATAGCTCACTGTAGCCTCGAACTCCTGGGCCCAAGTGAACCTTCTGCCTCAGCCTCCCAAATAGGTAGGACTGCAGGTGAAATGCTATCATGCTCAGCTAATTTTTTGATTTTTTTTTTTTTGGTAGAGATGAGGTCTCACTCTATTGCCTCACCTGGTCTCGAACTCCTGGGCTCAAGCAATCCTCCTGTTCGCCTCCCAAGTAGCTGGGACTACAGGTGTACACCACTGTGCCTGGCCTATCTTTACTTTATCAGTCATTGCCTTGTTCCCAGCATGATGGCAGATGCACTGACTCCATATCCTTTTGTGGAACTACAGAAGAGCAAGGGTCACGCAGGGAACCGGCCCGAGGCAGAGTCGATTCCAAAACCACCACAAGGACACTTCCACGTGTTCTTCCAGAACCCAGCAGCTCTCCCGAGTCTGTGACCCTCTTCTGGAAGCTGGACAAGCCTCTGGCCAACTGGGAATGGCGGAAATGACACTGGGAGGCTTCTGAGGCCAGAACGTCCAAGGTTCCGATGCCACCTGGCTGTCTCTTGGGACACTCACCCTGACAACGCAGCCTCCCTGCTGGGAGAGCCCCCGGCCACACGGAGGGGAACAGAGGCCCCCCCCCCCTCAGCCCTGGCCCAGCGCCCGGTGGGCGGGTGGCCCACATCGACTTTCCAGTCAGGTCCCCGTCCCGTCTCGGGAGTGGACGCTGTCGTTGAGAGGAACCAGAGGACGCTGTGTGGACCGGAGACAAGCCCTCCCGACAGAGGCCTGCCCGACCTGCGGGTTCGTGAGGAAAGGAGCTGACTGGTTGTGAGCAAGTGATATGGGGTGGTTTGCTACCCAAGTGCAGCCGAAGACAAGGCGCAGCTGCAGGAGGGGCGAGCCCTTCTTTGTTTTGAAGATTCGGGTTTATTTCAGACAGGGCTGGGGGCACACTCCGGCCAGGCCCATTCAAACACCTGCCCACAGCCGGGCTCGGTGGCTCAGCCTGTAATCCCATGCTTTGGGAGGCTGAGGTGAGCGGATT